CTTTTGACTTGTGTCTTCCAATGCCCTTCTGGAACTGGAGATCATCTGAGTGCCCATCAGCTCCCAGAGATGTGTCCCTTTCTTGCTGATTGAACAGAAAAGTTGTAATCAATTCATCCCTGACATCCACCAGACAGTTACTAGGCCAACGATGCTGTGCAGTCCACTGTGAAGAAGATATATATTTCTGCTTGTTAGCAGAAAACACTGTTCCTCCCTTCAAAGTGTCTGAAATCGAACTATGGCCTAGAAAAAGTCAACCCAAAACATGAATTTGGCTCTACGACAATGCTCTATGGGTAGAGATTTTATGTGGAATCAAAAATAGAAAGTAAATAAAATAAACAGAACTAGTTCAACCAAACAAATGAGCACAGCCTGGCAGAGAGCAGGAGCCAAGTCTTTGTAGCAAAGAGCTACTTTCACCTCAGGTGAAGCCGACTGTCCACTGTAGTCAGTAGAAGACTCTAGCCCTGCACTGAGGCTGGATCTGGCTGCTCCCCATCATTAGGGCTTCCATCCCTGACATGAATGGAGAGGAGGGCCTGTGTGCAGGTGGCAGGAGCAAAGGTCAGCAAAGAGTCATCAAGGAAATGACACAGTGTGGGGCAGAGAATCCCATAAGTCAAAATAAAATATTTGAGTGAATCACAGCGAAAGAGAAGTTTCTGAACTTCGAGGAACAGACTAAAAATACGAGATAGTATGCATCACTAAGTAGGGAAATGGGAATATGAAAATGGAACACTTATAACAACTGACTCCTCCAACAGGATTTTTCTGGCTGAATGCAGAGGTGCCTATAGTCTAATCTCACCTGGGTCTCAGGCACCCCACAAGCAGGCCACTCCTCAAAGCCCTTTGCAAAAGGATGTTTAGGAAACAACTGTGCCACTTCTGAAGTCTTTGGTACATACTAGAGTAGGAACGGGACTTCCCAGGTGCAATGCAGGAATCTCAGGTTCAGTCCCTGGGTCAGGAAGATCCCCTGGAGAAGGGAATGGCAACCCACTCCAGTATTCTTGCCTGGAGAATCCTAAGGACAGAGGAGCCTGGAGGGCTGCAGTCCACAGGGTCGCAAAGGATCATACCCGACTGAAGCAACTGAGCACGCACACATACAGTCAGAACGGGGCCCTCTGAGATTCTACAATACGTAGAAACTTGGGACTAAGATTGAAATTCCAGGTTCACCCTGATCTGTCTTCAACTTCAGAGATACCACGGACAGCTTTTGCATCTGATTTCTCACTGGTGAAAGGAGGAGCGGGGAGGTGACATAAGTTAGGGGACATGGTACTACAGGTTTTTGAGATGACTTTCCACCTCTGACCCTCTGAGGCAAAGAGAATCTCAGTGTATGAATCAAGGGGGTCGAATGCAGAACAAGGTGAATTTCCACAGCCCTGCTCCACCCCTGTTATGCCATAAGCATCCTCAGTTCTACTGGGGACTCTTATCTCATCCAAGATAAGAAATTGAAGTCCCTCCTTTTTTACCTTTATTTTTACATTTTTGCCCCTCTTCTCATTTGGGAGACTCTTACTAATAAGAGGCTCCAACCCAAAGCAGCGCTCAAGAATCAGTAACAAAAATAAGTCAGGGTTGATCATTTTAATGCATTTAGTCCAGAAGAGGGGGCTGATAGAAGGAGAGAGGTCATACTGTTTTTTTGCAGAGAAGCAGACAAGGAGGTGGAACACAGGCAATGGTGGCAGGTCAAGACTAGCAGGACTACTTTTATACTTTAACCAGAACAAATAAAATCCTGGTTTAGCTTTCTGTACAAGCAGGCAAACCAAAGGGGCATAAATGAAGTTGGTGTAAAGCAATTTGGTTAGTAAAAGCCAAAAATTTGGAAGCAAGGGCAAGTCTCAGCAAAAAAAAAAAAAAAAAAAGCCATTTAAATGTTTTTAACAATCTGCTTCTTCCTCTCTTCTGAGAAAATCTTTTAGATAACTGTAAGAAGAATGTGTAGGGCTGGTTGCTGTCTGGCTTCAGCAATATTAGCCCACAATTATGGGGTTTTTCAGGATCACATCTTATAACTCCTTCCACATAAGATCTCTAAATAAGCCCTGAGATAAGAGTGTCTTCAGAGAAGGCTTTCAGTTTTCCCTCCACTGTTAAACATCCCCAGAATGTTTCCTGTCACCGTGACAATTCATCAGGCCACCAAGATGAAGTGACCACAACCGAAGGGGGTGAAAGATGAAGGATCAGCCACACACAACGCAGCCTTACTTCCTATTCACTCTTTCCGAACTGTGTACTGCAGCCTCCCATCACCAGCCAAAAATACCATTCTGATGAAATATTAGAGCATAGCCCTCTTTACAGTAATCAGAAAAACAACACCTCCTAGTCAAGCTTTGGTTCAGGAAGGAAATTTTTTCTAAAAGCATTTTCTGGTAACTCTTTCCAGCATCAAACAGGGATGGAGTGTCCTTCCTCACACCCCTATGACACTCTTTGAACCCCACTATGCTTGGGGTCACTGCCCATATTTTAGTGTCAATGTCTTTTCTGCATTCCAAGCTTCTTGAAAGCAGAAACCATATCTTCCTCACCCAGAATCCCAAGGAACCAACACAGGTTCCAGAACAAAGCAGTTTACTCATCCAGCGGTGATGGATCAATGAATTCATCAATGACTTAATTTCTGAATAAACCTACCGGCTGCACAGTTTACAGGAACTTTTACACTCACAGCCCCATTTGATCTTAACAACAGCCCTGAAGTCCCCCTGAGGGAGAGGTCACCATTGTTCCCATCTATAGATGAGGATCCTGAGGCTGAAAGAAATCAAGTGACTTGACTAACGTCACAGAGAAATGATTTAATGTATGTGTGTGTGTACACTCAGTCATGTCTGACTCTTGCAACCCCATGGACTGTAGCCCACCAGGCTCCTCTGTCCATGGGATTCTCCAGGCAAGAATACTAGAGTGGGGTGCCATTTCTGATTCCAGGGGATCTTCCTGATCCAAGGATCAAACCCATGTCTCCTGCACTGAAGGCAGATTCTTTACCACTGAGCCACCGGGGAAGGCTGATTTAATGGATGTTTCTATCTAAATGACGTAAACTCTCTTTCATTAGAATCTTGCATCTCAAACAGAATCCTATGACTTTGGATGAGAGGATTGGGAACATCGTGAATAATCAACTAACATTTTGGGGTCCCTTATTCTTAACGCACTCTCGTCGTTGGTCCATGTATATCCCTTTTAAAATTGAACTTATCTGTTTGTTTATGTATTTAATTCTTTTAAATTATGTCAGCACTGGTGTTGATATATTCTACACTCTAACTGTTTAAGAGTTTATTAAATGATTGTCCTGGAATGAAGGGAAACTTGGAGGAGGGCAAGAGTCTTCCCAAATACCAACTCAACATACAGAGGAGTGACCTGAACACTCTGACTGACTTAAATTCAGACTGCAATCTTCAAGTGAATAGCTTTCGTAGATGCCTTTTAGATAAAACATTAAAATCAGCTAATACAAACTGCAGACCCCATCAAGGAAGAATGTTTCATTTCAATCAGATTCAGTCTTTTGTCAGGTACTTCATGTATTGCACACATTGGTGTGTGTCCAGGATATAAAATAAGGATGTTAGTAAGTGTGTTCTTGGGGAAGAGGGAGAAATATTACAGTTTTAAATGATACTAAGTTACGGCATGTGTGCTAAAAACGAAACTTAGTTTACAAACTCCTCTCCTCTCTGGCACTCTGCCCTGGTCGTTCTTATGGGAAGAAGAGAAGGTGGATTATTCCCTCTGTTCAACTCAACCAGAAATGCTAGACAAGATTCATCGAGACCAGACTGGAATAGTCTCAGAGCAGTCCTCCTCTAGCTTCATATTGCTTCTTGCATTCCTTCAGGAAGGGAGAGGCCTTTCAGTCCATAGTTGTGTCTTCATCCAAGAACTTGACTCACCGAAGACTCTCAACAAATGTATTCTAATTGACTTAAGAAATTCACACTGCAATCTTCAATTTAACAGTTTTTGTAGATGTCTTTTAGATAAAACCTTAAAATCAGGTAATAAACAACAAGGTCCTACTGTATAGCACAGGGAACTATGTTCAATATCCTGTGAAAAACGGTAACAGAAAAGACTATGAAAGAGAATATATACATATGTATAACTGAGTCACTTTGCTATACAGCAGTAACTGGGCTTCCCCGGTGGCTCGGTGCTAAAGATTCTACCTGCCGAGGCAGGAGACACAGATTCAGTCCCTGGGTCAGGAAGATTCCCCTGGAAAGGGAAATGGCAACCCACTCCAGTATTCTTGCCTGGGAAATCCCATTAACAGAGGAGCTTGGCAGGCTACAGTCCATGGGGTTGCAAAGAGTCAGACAAGACTTAGTGACTAAATAATAACAACAACAGTAGAAATGAATACAACATTGTAAACAAACTACACTTCAATAAAATAAATTTTTAAAAAATCAGCTAATATACCTACCCCACTGACACAAGACCCATTACCTTTGGGTTAGGAGAGGAAACATAGCAAACAGCAGGACATGGAGTGCCTGGAATGTAAAGTGAGGTCATCCTCTCTCAGAAAAAATGAAAAGGAAAGAAAGCACCAAAAAAGAAAAAGGCAGCTTGAGCTAAGAAAATCAAACTTGGACTTTATGATTTAGTCGCTAATAGTAAACTCTATTCATTGCCAACTTGGCAGGCAGGGACCAATGAAGCATGTGCGCAGAAGTATTTTTTATTTCACAGCTGCAATCGCAGGCAATAGCACTTAAAAGGATTCCTGAAGCTTTTAGCCTAGTCTTCAATGTGTCTAACTTCATAAATGGAGCTATGTTCCTGGAAATCTGAAAATGGAGCTGGGGCTTAGATACTTGAAGATGGGCCAGTGAATAATACTGAAAATGATCAAGTCTTGTTGGGGCTACAGGAATCCTGAGGAGGAGAAAGACACACAGGCAGTGGAATGACGTTTACATGAAAACGCCGACACCTACGCTCCAGTCCAGAGTCGCTCTGGGCTCCTTCGCTGGACCGTTTGCAACAGGAAGGCTGAGGGGATGCGCAGGAGCCAAGTGCTGCAGGCCTGCCCGAGAGATTGCTTTCCTGCAGCAAGAAGAAAAAAAAAAAAAAACACAAAAACCAACATCAGAAGGTAATACAGAGCTGAAAATTTCCCGTGGGGTAGAAACGATGCCTAAGTTAGTCTTGCACGTGTGAAAACCTTTGCAAATGTACTGGAAGCTCTAAAGTGCATGGTGAGAACCGAGGGTGGCAGGTCTCAAAAGACAGGAAGATTGAGGGGGCCGCCTTAGGGACATTCAGGGGAGATAGCAGAATGCAGGTCTCTGTGTTCGCAGAAAAAGACCTAAGGCTGAGGTGGTCACAGTCCTTGGACAGTTTTAAAGCTGCCGGAGACTAAAAGCAAGTAAAGCAGGCTCGTGAGGTCTTTGATTAAAATCCCTCCATTTCCCAGCAAAGAGCTCTCCAAGCTGGTTACCACCCCCAAGTTCACTGTTACACATCTCAAGAACATCCCCCCTTGCCCTTGCAGAGGATGTCTACAGTTGACTTGAGGTTCTAAGTGGGAAAAGACTGATTCGTATCCTGGAAATCACACAATGCAAGACCAATAATTTATCAAAGTCTGGGGTAAGAAAATTCCAAAACACGTTGGTTGGATTTTAGGTTTGCTGAGTGGAACATCACAGAATTCGGGTCAGAAAGGAGGGATGGAATCAGGAGAGGTTGAGAAAGTCAAGACTGACCCAGGCAAAGATAAGACATAAGAGGAATTGCTTTAGCAAGCAAACGTGCCTATTGCTGAGCAAAGGGGAGGGAGGAGATAAGGGCAGAGTGGAGAGAATGAGGACAGCAAGATAAAGGAAGAAAGCAGGGATCACCCGTGGAGAGCTTGTGGTTCCATCATGAATAATAGAAGGCCAATTTCTGAACAGCTCCATCAGAAATGTCAGACAATGGTGTAGAGCTTAAACAGGAGTGCTGATCTGTGGCTTAACTAAGTGACTCCCTGGAAGGGAGAGGAGCAGTCCTCCCTGGGAGTGTCCATGCGTGCTCTGAGAACAACCTGAATTAGAATAAGGGGTGCCATGTGATGCTGCAGCTCTGAGTCCTGAGTCTGGGGTGGGCTCGGGGCGGGGGTGGGGAGGGCAGGAACCCGAGCTTCCACATGCTTCCCAGGTGCTCCTTTCTGTTTCTAAAGGCTTCACACTGCTCTACAGGAGTGTGGAAGGATTTTCATCTAAAATGGATCTAGACACTATGAAATGGAGAATCTCCCACATGTGCCCTCAGGCAAACAAAACAGAAGTGCTAAGACACTGATTTCCAGTAAATGCCTGATTTCCAGGAGACAGAAACTTACCCCTCCAACACAGATCATCTGCCAAGAATCTCTCCCCATCCTCAAGCCAATGAACCTGCTGCTTAGAGTCTGCTGGGCTCTCCCCTCTTTGCTCTCTTTGACCAAAGGACAGTACATCCCAGACTATCAGCAGACTTGCCCAGCTTGCTACAGTCTGCATGTCCCACACTGCATATCCTCTGCTGAGCGCCTGTGTGCTCAATTGCTTCAGCCGTGTCCAACTCTGCGACCCCATGGACTGTAGCCCCCCAGGCTCCTCTGTCCATGGGATTCTCCAGGCACGAATGCTGGAGTGGGCTGCTGTGCCCCCCCTTCAGCGGATCTTCTGACCTGAGGATGGAACCCATGCCTCCTGCATCTCCTGGTGTATCGCCGGTGGATTCTTTACCAATGAGCCACCCAGGGAAGCCCCGCTTCCCCTGCTATTGCTACATAAACTCAATATCTGGTCATTCAAGCTCGTTTCAGTTCACTTCTTTATTTAGGTGGACATAACAAGTATCTTTGGGCAGGCGAGGGGCACTAAATACCCCAGGCCTGTCCAGGAGGAGGAAATCAGCAACCACTTCATTGCCCACCTGATCCCCCATAGCTCCCTGCAGCCTGTCTCATTAGATGTGAATAAGACAGGAGGAAACTGCCATCTCTGACACTGGACCTGCAGATGCACCAGGTCCCCAGGGAGGCCCAGATCCTCATCCAGAGGAGCAAGGCGACACACCAACAGCAAGATGGGGTCCCATCACAGCCCAGCAGAATCTTGCTGGACTCTGGATAACAGATGATCTCCCTGGACTGCTCACTGACCTCTGCAAGCTCCACCCAGTCACGTCATTTGTAAAGGTGAGCAAGATGAACAGCAGCCCCCAAACCCAAGAAAAGGCTGAGTAGAATCCAGAAAAGCCAGTCAGTCATCATGGATCAAGTATGTCTGAGAGTTCAGCCAGTGACCAGCCTTCTTCACCCATCCTTCTTCATCTCCTTCTTCCCCTCACTCCATTATGCACTTCATTTTGTTGGGCAGTAAGGAAAGAACACTGCAAGACTCTTCTTCTCCTTCCCCTTCCCCCTCCTCTTCTCCTTCCTTTTTTCCTCTTTTTCTCTTATATTCCTACACAGGAAGTCCCAGAAGCACTGCACAGGTCTTCAGTAGTTGAAGGTGATCATATCAAGCTTGCCAGCAGCCTGCCTACATTCAGAAGCTCCCAGTGGGAAGCAAGGAATGTACGTGCTTTACCTAAGCCCCCAAAACAGTCATCACACGTATGTAGGCCTTTAACGAAGACAGTCGGATGACACAATATTTTTTCCCTCATTTTCATCAAGGCAAATAAGGAATAACATCAATTGTGGGCCCTGACTCCAAAGTATATTCCATTTTCTTGAGCCAGAAGAAAAGAATACTAGAAGACTATTATATGGTGAGCCTTCACTTCCTCCCCCAGGCATTTTTTCCTCCAGCTGAGTTCAAAGAACTTCTTTAGCATTTTTCATTAGGACTTCTCTCTGATTTACCCTGTATAGTGATTCTGAATCACAGTTTTTATCACAAGAAAGTCTGATCTCTGTGGAGTCACCATCTACAGGTTCCACTTTTGATTCCCTAACAGTTATCACAATCTAAATTTAAATGTTCTAGCAAAAAAAAAAAAAAAAAGGTGCCTAAAACAAAGTCCTAGGACAGCTGAAGAATTCCTGAATTTCAGGCGAATGAGAAAAACACAGATCCTTCATTTTTTCATGAATAGCCACAGAGAGTTGTGATCAGAAAATAGAAAGAAGAGAGGAAACAAAATTTTATTATCACAGAGGAAACCACAGGACAAATGAGTTTAACTCATCAGAAGCTGGAGACTGACCCCCAAAACCTGACTATTCTTGCTAATGAGGACTGCCATCAAATTGCTCAGAGAATGAAATTAGGATGCAAGGAATACATATGTCTCTAGAAGAGCAATGTGGTTATAAGGTAAGAGACATACTAACATTTACCCCTGGACGCGTGGATGCATGTCTGCTCAATCGTCCGACTCTTTGCAACCCCATGGACTGTAGACCACCAGGCTCCTCTATCCATGGGATTGCCCAGGCAAGAATACTGGCATGGGTTGGCATTTCCTTCTCCAGGGGTTTTTCTGGACCCTTCTCCAGGGATCGAACCCATGTCTCCTGCACTGGCAGGCAGATTCTTTACTACCGTGCCACCTGGGAAGCCCTAATCCCAGATAAGCCCAGCAATGAAATCTCAGTCAAATCACACTCTCACCCAGCCTGTGAATACAAATGATTAAGGGCTTTTGTTGATTATTTCCATTGTGGATGCAAATTTAAGGTTGGCTTTTTTGTAACATTAATAGAAGAAAATTGTATATCTACCACACATATAAACATTAATTAGGGGGGGGAAATAAATAAGAAACTTCAAAGTGGCTGCCAGTTTGTGACTGTAAATGGGCCTCACAAAAGGATATTACATAAGAGAGAGAACAGGAAAAATATATAGAGGTAATAAAGGGGGTAGGAGGTAACTTCTGATTATAGCTTCCCATTCTTCTAAACAACCATGGGAGAAAGTCTTTTCTTCCAATACTTCATACATGTATACACACTTTGTTCCAAAATAAGAAAGCAATTTCATTATTTCTCAGACCTCAAATAACATTAGTATAAGTTATTTTTCTACTTGGATTCATCTTGGTTGCAAAAGATGACATTTAAGAATCTGATAGAATTTGATGTGTGTTGAGGGAGTTTATGTTGCAGTTTACTACAATTAAAAAAAAAAAACTCAATGGAGTTTCTTTTTTTTTTTTTCATTTATTTTTATTAGTTGGAGGCTAATTACTTTACATCATTGCAGTGGTTTTTGTCATACATTGAAATGAATTAGCCATGGATTCACATGTATTCCCCATCCCGGTCCCCCCTCCCACCTCCCTCTCCACCCGATCCCTCTGGGTCTTCCCAGTGCCAACTTTCATTCTTTCCTCCTGCTCAGAATCCTTCCAAACCCACAGTAAGTAAAACCATGAAATGCCAATGATTCTTTCTATTAATTTTACAACAATACTTTGCCAGGCAATGACTATAATGGCAAAAGAGTCTTTGAAAAGGAGGAGCGTGATATTAATGGTAATACAGATACAAAACCAAAATGTTCTAAAATGCAGTTTCAGGCACACAAAGACACAGTTGATGTCAATTACCTGCCATGAAAGACCGTGAACATATTTAAAGTACAAAAACCATCATACATTTTAAATAGCATTATATTATTTCCTTCACTTCATTCAATAAGACTATAAACTCCTAAAGGACAGGGCTCAATTCATCTACTAATCTTATTATGTTCTAGCCTGGGGTAGACACAGCATATATTCAATAAATGCTTTCTGAGTTAATGAATGAACTTGACCAAGAAGCTAAGCCAAACAGCTTGCTGATTAGATCAAGCAATGAGAAATCTGATTAGAATGATTTGAATTATATCCCAGGCCTTCCATTTCAGTGATATTCTTTCCTGAGAGAGCCAAAAATCCCTCAAAGAAGCTCTTTAAAGATAAAGGCGATGAGAGGGAGAATCCAGTATTAAGAAGCCTAAGAGTCCTCAAAATGGCTTTGGGATCAACATTAAAATGGAATCTTTGGCTACAGCATTTGTAAAGGGCATATGATAGTCAGTATTTTTTAATGCAAATTATTGAAATAAACATGCAGTGTG